GTTCGATGATTGACTTTATTGTCATTTCATCTTATTTGCGGCTGCATGTCTAGGACACATGGGTGAAGAGAGGGGCGGAGCTCTCAACTGACCACTACCTGTGGGTTGTGGGTTCTGATCCACCATCCAGTGTCTCGGGGGGGAAGCATTGCACTACCAACACTGTTTACAGTCGGGACGGTGTGCTGCTGACCTCGACACGGGAAGTTGTGGATCGGTGGGCAGAATATTTCGAAGACCTCCTCAATCCCACCGACATGTCTTCCTGTGAGTAACTTTGAGTTGGCCTCTCAAATTTCTGGTGCTGAGGTCACTGAGGTGGTTAAAAAGCTCCTCAGTGGCAAGGCTCTGGGGGTGGATGAGAGCCGCCCAGAGTTCCTCAAGATGATGTTTGTCTGTGTTGGCTGACACAGCGTTGCCCCCTTCTGGGTTCATCTTTGACAAGAGCTTCCAAAAAGTGATTTACAAATAAGGCTGTTATGATTTAATTATTCAGTTTGCAGCGAATAGACTAACTGTCTGGAATGATCAGAACCAAACTCGACAGAAGAAACAAGAATGATTTAGTGTTTTATGTTGTTCCACCAACCAACACAGCTGTGTTGGCTGGCGTGGCTCTGCAATATCGCGTGGACATCGAGGGCAGTTCCACTGGACTGGCAGACCAGGGTGGCGATCCCCCTATTTAAAAAGGGGAACTGCAGCGTGTGCTCCAACTACAGAAGGATCACACTCCTGGGCCTCCCTGGTAAGGTCTATTCTGGGGTTCTGGAGAGGAGGGTCCGTCGGATTGTCAAACCTCAGATTCAGGAGGAGCAATGTGGTTTTCATCCTGGCCGTGGAACACTGGACCAGCTCGATTCCCTTAGGGGGATCTTGGAGAGTGCGTGGGAGTTCGGTCATCCGAGAGGGGCTCGGAGTAGACCCGCTGCTCCTCCAAGTCGAGAGGAGCCAGTTGAGGTGGCACGGGCATCTGGTCAGAATGCCTCCTGGACGCCTCCACGGTGAGGTTTTCCGGACACGTCCAACTGGGCGGAGATCCAAGAGAAGACACAGGAGGGACTACCTCTCTCTGCTGGCCAGGGAACGCCTTGGGATTCCCCCGGAAGAGCTGGCCCAAGTAGCTGGGGAGAGGGAAGTCTGGGCGTCTCGGCTTAGGCTACTGCCCCCGTGATCCGACTCTGAATAAGTGGTTGAGAATGGATGGATGGACTTTTTAAGACAAAATATCTCTTTCAAAACAACCTCCTTTAGTTAAATAAAAAAGAAAATTATTTATAAGAGGAAATTTTAAGAGAAATTAAAATTAAACATAAAAAAGATCATTCGATTTACCTGTAAAGTCAGTTGCTAAGTGAATACTGAGCTTTGAAAATCTTTGCCAGAACAAATTTAAGCAGATTTCATGTGAGTTTTATTTTTATTTTTCAGCACTCGTCATTGATGATTTACACAAACAGGTGCTATAGAACTAGCTTAATCTATAGCATCAACTATGCTCGGCAGATCAGGGTGTCAAACTAGACCATTTTGGCTAGTTTTTAGCACCCCCTAGTGTCTGCTTGTAGAAGCGAAACCAAAACTTATCTCCTCGCTGTGCATTTTTAACACCTTATAGTGAGAGTCAAGGCACGCGTGGAGACTTATTTCATCCACACTTTCTGTCAGGAAAACGTTTTAAAGAGGCGTCGCCTGGCGCACTGACACAGCGGCACTGAGACAGTGGTAGACGGCAAACCCCACAACCCCCCCACGTGCGCTGTCGGAGTTTCTCAGTCTAAAAACGAGTTGTTAATGTGCTCAGCACTCACACTTATGAGGAACGGATCGATCCTGCAGATGCACCCTGCCTTGTGTGTCGACCAGCTGCCAGCTACCTAAACTCTCCTTGCTGCTGTTCAGCGACCGCCTCGAAGGCACCAGGGTGAAAAGGTTCCCCTGAGGGCGACGAATCCGTGGAAACGTTCGCCGACCTGGAGGACAAAAGGGACAAACATCACATAGATTAATATTATAAATGAATGAAAGAAACTAAGATGGAAATATGACAAGCTGAAAGAAAGAGGGCACAGGTGTGATTGATCTGACCTTCGCTGTGGTCCTTATAGTGCAGGGAAACATGGTACCTACGGGGATAGGTGCCTCCTTTCCCTGCTATCCTGTCATACACGTGGTTCTCTCTGTCTGGAAGCAGATTTATGAGTCAGCAGGGTTATTATGGCCACACTTTACTCCGAAGAATACGAGTAATTCAAACCTGGAGGAAACATTCATTAATAACTGATAGTAGATGTTCAGCTTGAGTAATGCAGTAATAATGAGACAAAAAAACAAACATCTCCTTATGTCCTGATGGCTTCACAAATAAAGAACTTGACTATTTTACTGGATTTTATCTTTGTTACGTTAGAACAGCATTATGAGACCACTACAGAAATCTGGATGTTGTTCCTCACCCGAGAACTCCTGGCGATTATCTGGGTTACTCTTGGCTCTGTGCATCCGGGACTTCCTCAGTGAGGGGCTGTGTGAGAGGAGTCAAAGGTGTTTAAAACGGACATATTATGACTTTTTCTTCTGTTAGAATAGTTCTATGGTTTCTAACAAGCATGTGTTTGAAGTTCTACACAAAATCTCTCTCACATGAAGGGATTTCAGTGGTTTTACTTTGTTCATCACCTGTCTGAGTTGCTGTCCAGAGACTGACAGCTTCCAGAAACGGAGTTCTCTGCACTGCTCCAGGGATCCAGAACCTGCTCGAGGAACATCGTGGGAGGTGGGGGGGGGGGGGGGGGGGGCACAAAGATACTTTAAGTCCGTGACTTTCAAAGAGAGAGAAGAAAACTGTCCTGAAAGCTTTCATTACAGATACATTAAACTAGCACATTTTAAATGAGTTTATTCGGTTTCTTTCAAGTTAATTTAAAAATGCTGAACTTTGTGAATTGGGAAGAAAGGTGAACTCAGTGAGAAAAATAAATCCAACTTGTACAAACATCCCTCTCTGCTGTGCTTCAGCTCCAAAACCCTGCATGCCTGTAACTATGGCAACTGGCTCGTACAGAGTCTTACTACATACATCACTGTACAACAGATGGAATTAGCAGAATTAACCACAAAGTTACCATCATATGTTACCAAGTTCTGCTTTGTTCTTCAAAACCGCTCAAGCTTTAAAAGACAATTTATCCGATTTAAAGGTTTAAAGGGACTATAAGGAAGTTTGACAGTCAAAACATGTATAGAAATAATAAATGTCTTCTTCCTGTAGAATGAGCCCTGGCATTTTTACTGTGATTGCCTGTTTTTCTGTAAAATCACAGAAAAAGAGAGATGCTCGGGGCGAGCAGGCTGCTTCATGCGCGTTCACGCTCAGGCATAGCCCGTAGCATTTGCTATCCGTAGCTTTAGCAGCAGAGAGTGAGGTAGTGCCACTTTGTCGCTGTTCCTAACGCCTAGTGACAAAGCTAGCTACATTTCTGAGGACTCTTAGCTACTTTCTGAAGAACTTTCTTCTACATATTTCCAGCAAATTAGCAACAAAATAGCCATTTTCACTCAGAACTGTTCTTTGGATTGACGTTTCAGCTGTCATCAAGGATATAAACGTTACAGATACAATGAATGTCACTGGCACTTTAGCTCACCTAGTAAGATGTCTGACTGTCATGCAGAAGACCTGGGTTTGATTCCGGGTGTGAGCATAGTTTGTTATTTGGAGTTTCTTTTTTACATTAACGATAATTTTTTTACAATAATAAGACGCCCAAATTTTTATTTGAGACTCGCCGAAAGGCATTGAATTCACAGATAAATAAGATGTGGGTTCAACTTTCATTTTGGAACAATTTTTCAAGCAAGGGAAGGGAATGATCTGAGCATGCAGGAGAACTGACCCATCTTAAACCTTTGTCGGCTGTGCTGAAGAGAAAGGTACAGAACCAAATTATTTAATTAATTAGCTATGTGTTCTCCTGTCCTCTGTCCTCCGGGCCAAACACACACACACACACACACACACACACACACACACACACACACACACACACTGCACGTTCAGCCGGCCGGCCGACGAGAAAGTGCAGCTGCAAAGACAGAGGCACATTATTTTTATTAATTTGCTATGTTCTTCTGACCTCCGGGCCACACACAGACACAGACACAGACACACACACACACACACACACACACACACACACACACACACACACACACACACACACACACACACACACACACACACACACACACACACACACTTTTGGCCTGAGGGGGCAATCGCGAGCATAAAAACTCAAAAGTCCGAAAAGTCCCTTTAAAGCTTTTTTTCTTTATTTGTTAAAGATGACTCACACATTGATCGCTAGTCTCTGGAATGAACTCCCCCTCACTGTTTATGCTCGTATACGAGCCTTGGCGGGCGATCCTCTGCTGACGCTCAGGCACATACCCGGGTGGCGGTGAACTTCGCCCTGTGCTCTGAGAACCTTGAATCAAACAAAAACTATGAGCATTAAGGGAAAAAATGGAAAAATTAACATTTTAAACAATCTAATGACTCTTCATGGCTCCAGAGACTAAAGCAGGTGTAGGAAAGAGATTTGCAAATTCTGCAAGGAACATTTTTTCTAAAACCCTAAAGATTTGTTTCTATAGGAGATGAATAACTCCTCCTCCCACGGAGTCTGGACAGCATAAAAGTAAACATGTTCAGTGTCAGACTGCAAAACTCAAAGACACATCAGAGCAATAACATTACTCCCCACCTGCTCACAAGAAGGACGAAGATCAATCAACAGCAATAAACGACAGAAACACTTATCATTATGTCATAAAGGCCAGCTCTCTGAACAGAGACCTAAACAGACCACTGGTCAGACACTCCAAATACATTCTTTAATCTGATTGGGTGCAGTCCAGCAAGTATAGTCTGGTAATGGTAGACAGCAGAAGTAAGAGCATCCTTTGTAAGAAAGTGGACTCGAAATGAAAGAGTACAAGTAGGTGATGGATGGAGAAATCATTACAGACGAGAGAAAACAAGAGTATGGAGCTAGGATTGGGACAATATTAAGTGTAACTTGTACCAAGTTTTGTAACTTGGAACATGTTTCATGACACGTAACTTTGGATTCGTAACTTGTAACTTTAGTTTTCTAACTTGTAGTTCTCAATTTGTACTTGTATTTCTTGTTTTGTAACAGGAATTTTTCATTTTGTACATGTATTTTTATTTTGTAAAATCAAACTTTTATTTTGTACATTTACTCATTTTGTAACATCAAACATTCATTCAGAAACATGAAGCTTTCGGTTTTTACCTAGCAGACTTCCAAAATAAAAAAATCAATGTACAAGTTTGAAATCAAAACTCTCAAAAACACACATTCCTAACACACTACAGGAACAAACCTCAAATCTACAGTTACGGATCATTCTGTCTCGATTCTAGCGTCAGTGGGAGGAATTTGGGTGGAACCAATGAGAGCACGAGTCTTAGCTACCAATCACATTTCTCGAATTCCTGTCCAATCATTGGGAGAGGAGGGCAGGGTTCTGTCAGAGCTGTAGAAAGAGAGAGTTACGACACTCTTTGAACTCGCCGACTCGCGGTCACGTGGTTCATGGAGCTCTCAGTTCCAAACATCCCACAGTGCCGTAAGTCAGTTTGAACGGCGTATGGTGGGACAAATCACAAAAATTGAATATAATCACATTTCCCCTGGCGATTTGTGGTCATTATTGAATTATATTATATATTATATTATATCTTATGTCTTAACTCCTTCACAAAGTAGCCTATTTATATTTTTCTGAGCATTTGTAGGAAGACAAACACCCGTGACTGTTCTACATTACAGGAACACGACAGTCCTAACACACTGTAGAACACATTTAGACCACATACATTACTATAATATACTATAGCAATAAATTTGATGTAGTAATGCAACACACTGCTCTAATATAAGCATATTAAATAACTTTAAGTCCTACAAGAAGCCCTAAACTCGAGTGGTAACATCCATTTTAAAGTGTTTATTGAAAGCTAGAATTCTGCTCCAGCTTACCTTGAAGAAAATATGTAGCTGTTTGTGCTTTGAATGATGATCTATTATGTTCAGTAGAATTCATTTTACAATCATTACTTTATATTTTTATGTGAAGACAGTACATGCATCTACAGCCCAGTTTATCTGGCTTCTATAGCAACTAATTAAAAAGAAATTTTCAATAAAACTGTATGGTCAAACACAGTAGATAAAAAAGTGTTATTTGTGAAAAAATGAACACCAAACTTGTACAACATGTATAATAGCATTTTTAATAAAGCATTTTACCAACATTCTGTTTAGTCATTACATATGCACAAATAAGCTGAATCAATAAATTTGAGCAATGTACTCAAGACCTAATGAAACTCTTTTGAATAACTTTATTTTGATTATTATTAAAATAAAATGTGTCCGTGGGTTAAAATTTGAAATGACTAATTTTAGGGTTGGATAAAATTTTAAAATGTAATTTTACATCTCCATTTTTGGATTAGTTCAATAATTCTATATGTACAAAAACTGTATTTTAATAATCCCTTTATAGAGCTCCGGGAGTTGACGTCACTTCTCCCGGCATGCAACAGTTCAAATCGAAACGGCGCCATATTGGCAGGTAGAAGCCGGCAGCTGGACTATTTGTTATTGTCAGAAAACTCAATCAAACGGGAAATATGGTAGATTCCTGTTGTGCCCCAGGATGCAGAACAGATGCGGACGACATAAGGAACGAGCCATCTACAGGATTCCCCAAGATCCGGAGCACCGCAAACGTTGGATCTTTGTAATAAAACGCGCTAGTGACCGGTGTAAAATGAAGCTGTGGGATCCCGAGAGTAAAGGTTTTGGCTTATGCAGCGACCACTTCATATCAGGTACTTAAACCAACGTTTCCTCAGCTGTGTATGGTATTTATTTTAAATGCTTTTGTTACGATTCTTAGTGGGCTTCCTAAACTTATTGTGGCGTGGCTTTTTCTGTCTTGTTACTCATAGCAACAAGTAAACGTAGCGTAAAACGTTGCCTCGTGAGTTCTGCGTGCTGCCGTTTCCGTGTTTTATGATCACAGCAATTAACCGGCTAAGTTGTATTTAATTTTTAAGCAATGGTTGATCAATTGTCAGATCACACATAAAAAGCACTTTGGATTGCTATTATCTGTCTCACCAAGACAGCTCTCAGATCCTGAGACGCTCCTGCCTGACATATTTATTTTATTCACGGAAAAAAAAAATCAAACTAGTGATTTCTCTTGGTGTTCAGTTTAAACATTGAAACAGCACAGCACTCTATTCAAACTACTTACATGTAAATCTGTTATTTGTCCATCCATCCATCCATTTTCATCCGCTTATCCGGAGTCGGGTTGCGGGGGCAGTAGCATCGAGAGGCCCACACTTCCCTCTCCCCAGCCACCTGTGCCAGCTCCTCCGGGGGAATCCCAAGGGGTTCCCCGGCCAGGTCCGATAAGAAGTCCACTCCGACAGCTTCTGGCGTTTTTAAAAAGTATCCCAGGGGCACGGTAAGGGTCGGAGATGTTTAGTCTATTTAATTTCTGACTATATAAAACGATTTCTTCAGTTTTAAAGTGTGAAGTAAACTCCGACAAAGTAAAATCCAAGCTGATCCCGTTCACGTTCATGGTTACGATCCGTATTTGTTTAGCTTCTTTTACCTGCCAATATGGCGTCTACTGAGAGTCACGTGGGGTCCGGAGCTCTATAGGTTGATTATCTTACATGGTTGGCTGCGCTGCATATAGCAATCGGTCTGAGGGAGGAATCAGAATTATGGCTTACCCAAAGATGCAGAGAGAAGAAGAAAATGGTTGGCTCATGTAAGCAGGAGCGACCTCACCATGACCAGAGATCACATTAACAAAAAGCTGTGTGCAGTGAGTTTAACGTGCACCCTCAAATGTTTTCTATCAGGGCTCTACATGTTTTGCTCTCAACTGCACAAGGCTGCAATTAAACTGTTAAATGTGGCAGGAAATAAACTAGTACACCCCTCTACAGGCACATTTTGAGAAGGGACAGTTTGCTAAGCTTAGGAAAGGCAAGGTAAGACTCAGGGCTGATGCTGTTCATAGCCCTGAACCAAGGAGGAGGAAGGATCCCACAGTGGGAAGGACAGCAGAACCACTGCATGTTGATCCACAGACCAGTGACCACACATGTTGTACTCAAGTAAACTGCGGTACAAATCTTTTGAAATATTAAGACATTTTTATTTATTTTATTTAAAAATGATTCTTTATTCTTACAGTGCCATTATAAATTCAGAGAATGAGGAAAGCAGCAGCAGCAGTGAGGCAAATGAGATGAGGGAAAGTGAGAGGGGACATGAGATGGTATCAGGAGAGAGGGACATCCCAGGAAGCCATGAGGAGCCGGCGTCAGGGCCAGGAGGAGAAAGGAACAGGCGATGCAACCAGGGAACCCAGCTGGAAAACCTAAGGGAGGAAACAGAAAGTCAAAAAGGCATGAAAAACACAAGAGGCATTAAATGGAGTAAACAGACAATCAAAAAGGCCGTACAACTCTTTTTTTCTGTGGGTTCAACAGCCTACAGGTTTCTTCAGGACACAAGTATCCCTCTGCCTGATGTTAGAACCCTGCAAAGACAAATGCAGCCCATTAAACTGGAACCAGGTGTGTTAGGAGAGGTGTTTGACATGCTCAGTTTGAAGGTAAAAAATCTGACAGGGATGGAAAGAGTGTGTGCTTACTGTGGATGAGATGGCAATCACTCCAGGCGTGCATCACTCCATCACAGACCCAACTGGGTTTTGCCACCACCGTTGTTTCTGGTCAGCTCTCCGCTCAGCCACTATGAAAACATGAAGATGGACACACAACACAGTTTAACCTTTAATGGTTACATAAGACTTTTGTTTTAGAAACTCTTTGACATTTATTTATTGATAGTTATGTTATTGTTAATTCTTATTTCTTATCATTCCTTAATAACAAAATTGCAAATGCTAATATTATAAAGCAAGTGGAAATGAGCAGTTTTATGGAAAATGTCTCATTTTTAAAAGTTATTGTTTGACTACTGTTCTTGAATTACCGTAATTCTATTCTTATTACTTGAGTCCACAAAACAAAACAACCTATCTTCTTACGTTCGTAATCCTGTTTGTCTCATGCTTCAGCAGTTTGTTGTAGTCAGTGTTATTAACTGAAAAATATTAAATAATTACTTGTCTTCACAATCATATTTTCTTTATTATTGGTCTCTCCATTTGTGCTTCCATTTCTGATGCATGTTCGCGTTGATACAGCAATCAGCAACGTATTGTACAAAAAATCCCAAATAAAACTAATAATGTAAAAAGTTTAACCTATTTCAAACTGTGGGGAATATTTTTTAAAATGTAGAATCAAACAAGCTGAAATAAACCCGTCTACAGCTCATGAAGCTTGTCTAAACCCTCCTGCTCACAGTCAACTAGCTGCACACAGTTAGCTCATTAAAGGTTATCTAGCTAAAACTGGCAACATAAAATATCATCGTTGGCTTATTTTGGTACGAAGCGGTTAGCTAACGCTTCACAATGCAACAAAATGATGACATTTCATCAACTTACCGGAGAAAATCCTTCCGAAACACCGAAAATGAACTACGGTCAATGCAGCAGCGGGGGCTGTTTGGAACTATTCGAAGCTACATAAACCACGTGACTCCCGCATTCCATTCTCTATTGGAGTGTCGTAACCATCGACATTAATATACTGCACAAAGAGCAGGCAGAACTATGAACTTGTTTAGCCCGTCCAAGTAACATGGAATAAAAATGGATATGTTAAGATGAGTTTTTAATACGTCTCTCTGGAACAATAGACCATTGTCCTGAGGCTAGCACAATGGCTGGCTTAGCAGCTAGCTAGTGAGCTAACGTCTGGTTAAAACCAATTTAAAAAGTGGCTTAACTTACAGATTAACTAAGAAAAGATAAAATATATTATCAATACTCTAGATCCTCAGTAGACACCACAGACAGCAGAAATAACGTGTTTGGGGCTCAAAATTCATGTTGTTGGCCGAGGTGGAAAAAAAAAAGTCTTGGCTACATCACTTCCAGGTCACTGAACTGTCACTCAAGGGAAACCACTGTCCTATGGGAGAGGACTTCTCAGAAGTCCCACCCACCTGAAAGGGTTGTGTCAGAATTGCAACCAAAAACTCAGGGATTGCAAAGGAGAAAGCCAGACAGTGTAAGTGCAAATCTGGTAGTGAGAGCAAAGCTGTGAGCAGCGAGAATGAAACTAAGGAAATTGATAACAAAAACACATAGAGGCAAACAGAAAAAGGAAACATACTTTGTTACTTATTTTAAGAAGTTGATTCAGATAGCAAGTTTTACTTTTGAAACATTTTTTTTTCTTTAGTCAATATTTTTGTTCTGTCAATTTCTTAATTTTTGTTTGACCATCAAAGTGTTTTTCTCGATCATTTTAAGAATCTGATTCAGATCATAAGTTTTTCTTTTGAAACAAATTTTTTCTCTCAATGTCTTAATATTTGTTTGATCTTCAAAGTGTTTTTCTTGATCCTATTGGCACAAATCTAATCCCATACATATGGACCAACATTTTAAACTGTACATTTTTTATGTTATTATACTGAGATGTGTATAGAAAGGAGAGAATGAAGGAAAGAAAAGGAAAAGGGACAGAAATGGGAAGATTATACCTTTGTTTCCATGTTTTGATTTGTTTTAGTTTTTATTTCTAAATTGTCAGATGTTGATATTTATTTGGAGTTTGCTGCTTAATAAGCCCCCCTGAGTTTTTGGGAATTTTCTATCACATTTGTGAACATGTACTTTTTCACAGTGACCGGCCAAAATAAGCCTTCACCTGGATTTAACTAAGCAAATAGGTACAAGCCTCCTTTTGGTGAATTACTGCATGGGTGCTTATCTCTCAGCTGGTGCAGTGAGCTGCTTCTCATTTCTTAAACAGCCATGTAAAGATACATCTGGTGGTCATGGAAAAGATGTCAGTCCAGGGTTTCCCCCAGCCCTTTATAAGCCTGGCGGGCCGCCAGGCTTTGCTTGCCCACCCGCCAGGCTAAGCGTCATGCCACGCCCCCCCTCCCAGACCCTACAGTGTCCACTGACACGAACGGCGCAGCAAAACTAGAGCCCTCCATCAGCTGATACTGGTGAGCAACAGCAGCGGAACGTGTACCCCCCCCCCCCCCCCCCCCCACCACCACCACCACCACCACCACACACACACACACACACACACACACACACACACCCACGAAGGAGCACTGCGGGACGGAGTGCGTGAACCCCCCCAAAAGCCGCCAGGTTAAATTCATTTTCTGGGGTAAACCCTGTAGTCTGTGTGAGAAGGGTCAGATCGTTGGCATCTAGCAGAGAAAACATCTAAGGAGATTGTAGAAACAACTAAAACTGGGTTTAGAACTGTCCAACGCTTTGTTAAAAACTGGTCTGATTAGTCCAGATGGACCCTGATCCAGAGTCATGGTGCATCAGGGTAAGAAGAGAGCCAGATGAAGTGATGCACCCATCATGCCTAGTGCCTACTGTACAAACCTGTGGGGGAAGTGCTATGATCTGGGGTTGCTGTCAGGTCTGGGTTCAACAACAGGATGTGCTCTAAGAAAAATATTCCAAGATGACAGTGCCTGGATTCATTGGGCTCAAATAATGAAAGAGTGTTTCAGGGAGAACGAGACATCGTTTTCACACATGGATCGGCCACCACAGAGTCTAGACCTGAATCCCATTGAGAATCTTTGGGATGTGCTGGAGGAGGCTTTGTGCAGTGGTCAGACTCTACCATCATCAATGCAAGATGAAACATCAATGCAAGATGAAACATGAATGCAACACTGGATGGAAATAAATCTGGTGATGTTGCAGAAGCTCGCTGAAACAATGCCACAGCAAATGTGTGATGTAATCAAAGCCAAAGGTGGTTTAAAATATCTTAAAGTGTGACCTTTTTGTTTGGTGGTGACTTTTTTGGGGGGCCAGTCAGTGTATTATGTATTGTTTTTCCATTGCAAAAATGAGTCAGATATAATTCATGTACCTGTTGACAGGTGACGCCCCCTGGGTTCGGAGGACTGGAACACTGCAGTAACGTCTCCAACGGACTGGGAAGACTTGATCCTCACCTGCTTACATGGTACAGGATGAGAATGGGAGGGGGCCTGGAGTAACAGAGAGGAGAAGAAGAGGGCAGGAAAAAAATTCTCAACTGTTGCAATATTCAGTATGTGTTCAATACCTGTGCAATACCAGATTCACATAGCATGTTTGTGGTGCTGCTGTAACAAGTGAATTTACCCACTGTGGGATTAATAAAGTCTATTCTATTCTACTCGTAAGCTGGTTGGTGTAGAGTAAGGTAAACAGGAACTTTCACAATGTGATTTCTACAGAAATGACTGTGGTGCAACTTGGTTCTGTGAATACACACCCAGTGTGTGTGTGTGTGTGTGTGTGTGTGTGTGTGTGTGTGTGTGTGTGTGCGCGTGTGTGTGTGTGTCTCACATTGGTGTGCTCCTGCGTGAGAAGCAGGATCCTGATGCTCTTCATGTTGGAGCTTCTGTCCAACAGGTCTACAGCCTTGTCCAGGTCATCCTGGCTCCTCAGCAGGATGGACATCTGCAGGAGGACACAGAAAACCAAGGAAGCATGCCAATGAACAAATGTAAGCTAAAAAAAAAACCCACAGATGTAAAATTGCACATGTATAGTTAACAAATCATTTCATAAAGATCTCATTTCTAAACATGAACTCAAGTTTTGTCCAGTTAACGGCGAGAGTGGGTCTTTGAGTGTTCTACGTTAAGTTGATAAGTTAAAAAAATACACTTTTTCATTAATAAGAAAATATAATGAACTAATTCACAATTTAATAAATCATTATTTATTTAATGAGATGATAAAAAATGCTCTTAATAGGATTTTGAGCATTTTAAACTTAATTGTCACATTTCTATCTCGTAGCCCAGGAGGTCTGGTATTAGTTTGTTTATGCTACTTTTAAAATGGAAGGGCAACTTCTCTCCAAATCCAACAGAAAACTAAAATTATTCATCTTATCGGAGCCGACTTGGTGACAAAGCAGAACGTAGTTTTGCTCATTTTTTTCCAAATTAAAAAACGTTGGGGCAAAGACAAAATATATATTACTTAAATTAGACTCAAAAGAAAAGATGGACAACAATGTTTCTTTAACGTTCGCAGAGGCTTCAGACCATTAGTGTTTTCCCTTCTGGGCTCACCTTTGACAAGAGCTTCCAAAAAGTGATTTAAAAATAAGGCTGTTATGATTTAATTATTTGCAGCAAATAGACTAACTGTCTGGAATAATCAGAACCAACCCCGACAGAAGAAACAAGAATGATTTAGTGTTTTATGTTGTTCCACCAACCAACACAGCTGTGTTGGCTGGCGTGGCTCTGCAATATCGCGTGGACATCGGGGACAGTTCCACTGGATTGGCGGACCAGGGTGGTGATCCCCATATTTAAAATTGGGGACCGGAGCGTGTGTTCCAACAACAGGGGGGTCACACTCCTGGGCCTCCCTGGTAAGGTCTATTCTGGAGTTTTGGAGAGGAGGGTCTGTTGGATTATCGAACCTCAGACTCAGGAGGAGCAATGTGGTTTTCATCCTGATCATGGAACACTAGACCACCTCTATACCCCTAGGGGGGGTCCTGGAGGGTGCGTGGGAGTTTGCTCAATCAGTCTACATGTGTTTTGTGGATTTGGAGAAGGCGTTCGACCGCATCCCCCAAGGGGCCCTGTCGGGGGTACTCCAGGCGTATGGGGTACCAGGCCCTCTGATACGGGCTGTTAGGTCCCTGTATGACCGGTGTCAGAGCTTGGTCCGCATTGCCGGCAGTAAGCCGAGCTTGTTTCCTGTGATTTGGACTCCACCAAGGCTGCCCTTTGTCACCGATTCTGTTCAAAACTTTTATGGACAGGATTTCTAGGCACAGCCAAGGTGTTAATAGGATCTGTTTTGGTGGCCTAAGGATTGAGTCTCTGCTTTTTGCAGATGATGTGGTCCTGTTGGCTTCATCGGACAGTGATCTCCAGCTTTCGCTGAGCAGTTCGCAGCTGAGTGTGAAGCAGCTGGGATGAGAATCAGCTCCTCTAAATCTGAGACCATGGTCTTGAGTCAGAAAAGGGTAGAATTCCTTCTCCGGGTCAGGAATGAGGTCCTGCCCAAAGTGGAGGAGTTTAAGTATCTCAGAGTCTTGTTCACGAGCGAGGGAAAACTGGAGCGTGAGATCGATAGGCGGATTGGTGCTGCATCTGCAGTGATGCGGGCGTTGTACCGGTCTGTCGTGGTGAAGAGAGAGCTGAGTCAGAAGGTGAAGCTCTCGATTTACCCGTCGATCTACATTCCTACCCTCACCTATGGTCACGAGCTTTGGGTAGTGACCGAAAGAACGAGATTGTGGATACAAGCGGCTGAAATTTGTTTTCTCTGCAGGGTGGCTGGGCTCTCACTTAGAGATAGGGTGAGAAGCTCACTCATCCAGGAGGGGCTCGAAGTAGACCCGCTGCTCCTTCACGTCGAGAGGAGCCAGTTGAGGTGGCTCGGGCATCTGGTCAGGATGCCTCCTGGACGCCTCCCTGATGAGGTTTTCCGGGCACGTCCAACCGGGAGGAGACCCAAGGTCAGGCTGGAGGGACTATGTCTCTCGACAGGCCAGGGAACGCCTTGGGATTCCCCCGGAAAAGCTTGCCCAAGTAGCTGGGAAAAGGGACGTCTGGGCATCTCGGCTTAGGCTGCTGGCCCTGCAACCCGACTCTGGATAAGCGGTTGAAAATGGATGGATACATGGATGTTCTTCCACATCACGTCGTGTTGTTTCTCTCATAAAAGAGGAAACAGCTGATAGTTTCGAGCTCAGGTTTTGTGACATCAGAACTTTTTTGTCACCATTTTCAAAGTTATTCTCTTATTTTTTGACTCAAGTTTAAAAGAGTAGAAGGAGTCGCCGCTCCTCTGGGGAAGGTGCTGGATCAAAAGTGGAATGAACAAGATAAGAATCCGCACACTTCAGTCTGCGATGTGAGAGCTTTATCAGTCGAGCTTTCGGTCAGAGACCTTCATCAGGAGTTGTCAGTTGAAAAAACATGCAAACCTTTACCTCATTGTTGATATAGTAGAGGTCTAACTGCTGGCCAAACACACTCTTGACTTTCTGCTGGATGTCCTCAAACTGCACGGGCCTCCCAAACATCAAGATCCTGCACAGAAGAAAAACAAAAAGTAACACAGATTAGAAGAGTTTCATATTAAACTTCTGAGTTACAAACACACTGGTGAGCGTGTTTGACGTGTGCAGATTCCTTTAGGTACACCTTGCATATTTGTGGTTTTTGCTGGCAGGTACAGGTGGACCACAGTCCTTTCCACTTCCATTTTTACATACCAGTCACATTTAGGAGCTCCTTCTCGTGGACTAGGACATGTGACAGGAACAGCATGGCTGCACGTGTGTGTGTGTGTGTGCACGCATGCTTGCGTGTGTGTGTGTGTGAATAAGAAGTGAATTAAACTCACCTCCTCTCTCCTGAGAACTCAAACTTAATCCTGACATCATCCTTAAAGGGAAAAAAAAAAAACAAATGAATGGGATAAATCCGCTCCGCTCCTTCTACACGGTGGAGTTATTAAAGAGCTTAAATATGATGCATGAACCGCTTTAGTCTTTCAGGAGGGTGACTGATAATATTCGCTCATGAATAAGAAACAAAAACAAAAAAGCACCAGTATCTGCGTGACTTCACGCAGATTCAAAGCAGAAAGATTTGATCCAAAAGTAACGCCTCTGAAACTCAGCAGCTAATTAGAATAATTACACAGAAAAGTCAAATTGCAAACTGGCAATAGTCCTTGTGGCAGAAGAGTAAGAAATTTAACACTGCTGGTGAATGCTGGTAAAAAGTAAATGAACAGTTAGGTTCTTTGTCCAAAAAAGCCACTCCTGCTTCAGACATTCATTCAGAATCTGAGCAAAGCCACTGTAGTTATAAGGAACACACACACTGCTCCAATGTATGACTTGTTCCAGTAATGAATGTAGTAAACTGAATGTCAGTAAAGCAGAGAAAAATCTCATCAACGCGACTAAAAGTTTCCTAAAAAATGGGATAATAGGAACTGGACTTCCAAAGTTAACAACTTATACAAAGTCAGTAAGGTAGCAATGTAAAAATGTTTTGTATAAATAAATATAGAAAACTATTTACATGGTGCTTAACTTAGATGTGGGCTAAATTGTTGGTGGCCTTTGGTCAATGAAAGCAAAACCCACAATGGTCACAGAATTAACTTGAATCGGACAAAAGTAACAATAAATACAAATTCTATGAAAATTAACCAGTGACAGTCAGACAATGCTTTTCAACCATGATTACACAGAGTTACTTAAAAAAATAAACTCATGGAACAGGCCTGGACAAAAAATGATGGTACCACTAGAAGAGACTGAAATAATGTGACCAAAGGGACATGTTAGTTTAAGTTGTGTCCATTATTAGCATCACAGGTGTCTACAATCTTGTAATCAGTCAGTGGGTCTACATACTGTATATCTAGGGCTCCAGGTAGTCACTGTGTTGTTTGGTGACATGGTGTTACACACTCAATGAGGACACCATTGTTGAAAACAAGTTCTAAGAATCAAGACTGGAATATGTTAAACTCAAGCCCCCACAATGCGGCTCAAAAATTGAGTCCAACGAAGTGACAAAAATTGCAGTTCCACCCTCATCCACTAGGGGCAGGTGTCAGAAGCGCGCAAATCCTCATTGACTCCCATGTTAAAAATACCAATTTCACAGCATAAATAAACATGTTTACAGCCTGGTACCAAAACATGTTTTTTGTTTAAATGATCTAGTTTACACTCATGACAACTCTGAGGGGGGTGAATTTCTTTTCTCACTCTTCTGTTTAAGTGTATTAAAAGCCTAAAATTCTGTATAATTAAAGAGCATCAGACCCACGTGACCACAGAGCTAGCTCCGTGGAAAGGCCTCAGTAGAGCCTCGGTCTGGCTTGGAAACTGTTCCGGGATTTTGAGTCTCTGTGTGTGTGTATTCTTGTTTGGATATTTTTTGTGCAATTGTTGGACAAAATGACTTGCTGTGGCATTAATTGCACTAATAGAGCGTCCAAGGAGTCTCCACTTGATTTTTTGGTAAGTAAAATTATATTTATGTATTTTAGGTCACTGCCGAGCTGAGCTTAGGTTTTAACATGTACTGTTTAACCATGAAATTTAAATGTAATAGGGTAAAACCCAGTGCATTTAACATAATGCTGCACTTTAGAAAATGGGTTGAAATATAACATGTTGGTGGAGCTGGGTTCCGACTATCGGCTTGTGGAGCTCTCGGGAGACCTCGTTCTCCCCTCCCCGCAGCTCGGCGCATCTCTGTCTGAACGCGGCTCCTGACTGCTGCGCGGGCTGCCGGCTTGTGGAGCTCTGGGATGGAAACCTTTCCATCCGGTTCTCCCCATCGGCAGCTCTGCGCATCACAGATTGAAGCTGCGCTTGTCCGCTGTGCGGCAGCCGGCTCGTGGAGCTCTCGGGAGACCTCTGTGTTCCACCCGGTTTTACCCAGCGGTCAGCCCGGCGTATCTCTGACTCAGAAGCTCTGGTGTTGTGCACAGTTAACTCCGGTTGTAGCTAGGTTGCTACCTCCTTTAGCTTAGTTCCCACCTCCGCGTTAGCTTTGGGTTAGCTTCAGGTTAGCTTGTAGCTAGTTCGACCGGGTGTCGTCAGTTGATCCCAGCCTTACAACCCCACCCTCAGCTCCACCTCTCTTCCCTTTTGTAGAATTGTCTGGGCTTGACGGAACCTGTGACACGGTCAAAATGGCGGTGGTGGCCACCTCCCATTTAGCCTCAAAAACGTGTTACTGGAGCCTATGGAAACCCACTGTCCAATATTTATATGTCGATGGTTAAACTACATGTTGACAAGCCACAAAGCTTGTGGGGGACTGTCCTACGGACAGATGAGACAGAAATGAAACTTTTCACCAAGGCACATCAGCTCACAGATGGAAAAATTAAGCATATCAAGAAAGGAACACTGTCCCTACTGTGAAACACGGAGGAGGCTCTGTTATGTTCTGGGGCTGCTTTGCTGCATCTGGAACAGGGGGTCTTGAATCTGTGTAGGGTACAATGAGATCTCAAGACTATCGAGGGATTCTAGAGAGAAATGTGCTGGCCAGTGTCAGAAAGCTTGGTGTCAGTAGCAGGTCATGGGTGTTGCAACAGGACAACGACCCAAAACACACAGCTAACAACACCCAAGAACGGCTAAGAGGAAAACATTGGACTGTTCCAAAGTGGCCTTCTATGAGCCCTGACCCCAGCCCTGTTGAGCATCTTTGGAAGGAGCTGAAACATGCTGGCTGGAAAAGACATCCTTCAGACCTGAGACAGCTGGAGCAGTTTACTCATGAGGCGTGGGCCAAAATACCTGCTGAGAGGTGCAGAAGTCTCATTGACACTTACAGGAATTATTTGGTTGCAGTGATTGTGCAACACAATATTAAGTTAGGTGTACCATCATATTTGTCCAGGCCAGTTCCATACGTTTATTTTTTTAAATAATTATTTTTGAAACATGGTTGGAAACCAACGTCTGACTTTCATCGGTTAAATTTCATTGAATTTTTATTTGTTATTACTTTTGTCAGACTTCAGTTATTTCAGTGACAACTGTGGGGTTTTCTTTCATTGACCGAAGGGTACCAACAATTTTGTCCACGCCTGTAGCTCTTTTAAATGTTATTTAAACAAAAACATTTAATCCACATTTTCATAGTCTAGTTTGATTTGCTTTTTTATCAACTTTACAGGTCTGAAATAACTAGGTTCACAAATTAAAAACATTCATCTGTTTTCTTGTTATAAAAACAATGATCATCATTATTATCCTAACTGGTAAATTCAGTCATATAAAAAGACAGCAGCTCATGTTTGTTTACCTTACTTAAGCCTGATGTTTGTAAAACCTTAAGCCTGGTTTCTCTGACAAAACTTGGACACACTCAGCTTTCTGCTAATATCCTGGGTTGAAGAACTCTTGTTAGATTTTAGTAAAAGTGTCCTGATCGTCCACACGTCTACTCTTAATTAGAACAATGCAACACAAAATAAATGCACAGATGTTTACTCTGATGTTATTAGCTATGCGTCAGCAGAACGCTGAGTGGTGGTTTGAAACGTAAGCAGAGCTCTACCTGTCTGCTAGCCTGTGCTGGTGCCTTTGGTTTGCTGCTGTCGTAGGAAAACACCGGCTGACGCCGTGTCATCTGGAGGGCAACCAGGTCCTTCATTATGGAGTGGAGAGCCTGCCTCTCATCTGGAGAAGATGTTAGTTTGATAAAAACACACAGTTAGAGCAGATCGGTGTATAAAAGTTAAAGTCCCATTAGTTATCCTCACACATTTGACCCGTCCCCGTGGGGAGCGGTGAGCTGCAGCTGTGGCTGCGCTTGGGAACTAAATGATGCGCGAACAATGAATAAATTATGACGCGTTTGTGCTTCTAACACTTTGCTTAACCTCAAAAGGTTAAACAAGGACAATGCTTTTACTTTGTTTTACCCACAATCGCACTGAAGAGATCCTGTAACGGGCAGTAAGAGATGGAAAAGACGCTTTTGATATGCCTGTTTCTCGTGTTTGATCTCAGGACAAGCTCTGCTTTGGCTGTGCTGACTCGCCAAGAGAAAATATTCTCCTTGTGTAGTTTGGACAGACATCATTCAGCCCCAGGGCAGCTGGGGTAACCAACCGCTTCAGGAGAAAGCCAGAAACCAATCCTTCACCTGACTGTGTCTGGAGTTCAAGCTGAGGGATGCAGTTTTAAGAGCCAACGTACGTGTGTGTGTGTGTGTCTGGTTTTATCTCGTGCTTTAATGGAATGCACCAAATATCTGTTTAGGATCAGAAATGAGAGGACTTACTCATTGCGGCTGTATTTGTGTGCAGGGCCCACAAACCAGTCTTCAGACTTCTATCCCCGAAGAGCCAAACCACCTATGGCCTGTGGTGGTAAACACAGTTGGGTGAGTATCTCTTGGAATCAGAGCAAAAGGATGTTAAGTCGTTGAGTCAGACAGGATGTGACAAAAGCTGCAAGTGTGCAAGTAGCTCAGCTCTTGAACTATCATCTTAATAAAAAAAAAACTGGTCTTTAGCAATTTAATCTGAAAACTATGAAAACAAAAGGCTGTGATGAACTCTTCCTCTATGCTGTAGTAGTATAACTGATGCCGCGTGGGAATAAAACACTACATGATAGGAGAAACCTCGTTTTCATCTGCAACACAAACTCTCACTGATGCTGCAGGCTTGACAGGCATGACATCTAAATGGGCAGAAAACAGAACTAAATGTTTCCACTGAATGAAAGTCAGACTGAGTGAAAATGCGTGTAGTGCATGTTAAAACGTGCATAACAGAGAAGGACAATTGGAAACGGCTGAAACTCAAGCTGCACCAGCCCACATGGGAAGAATGTGTTTGTGAGCAGCTTTCTGTGATTTTAAACCATAAAGCAGCTTTAAATGAGTCTGGCTGAACGAGCAGCAACAGCATTCTTTATCTGTGTCATAAATCTGATATTAACTGACCCAGTATCGCTAACATGAGAGGTTTCCCCGTATGAGTGTTCAGTGCTGCAAAAATGTATTTGACCCCTGCAGTTTATCACAGTCAAATGCTCCAGATTTACTAAATGTTTCCAGTTTCATACATATAAACTATCGTTTTTCCAATGATGACTAATCAGGCCCTATGTAAAAAAAAATCACTGACCCCTAACCACAATAACAGGTTGTAACCACCTTGTTGGTGATAACGGGTGATGAGTCTCTCTTCACTACGGGAGATTTAGTTCCACTTTTTGTTGTAGAATCATCTAAATTCAGCCACACTGGAGGGTTTTCCAGCATGAGCAGCCTGTTTAAGGTCAAAGGTCAGACATTCTCCTTCAGGATTTTCTATTACAAATGGTTTCTTCTAGGAATGCACGAAATATCAGCATCAGCGTCTTCATTGGCCGATGTTTAGTCACTTTTTTAAACACGTCAATATTATCATCGATTCCTTGAATAATGTTTTACTGATTTGAAGCTTCATTAAAAATCCCCACCATCCTGTTTATTTGTGGATGTCTGCAGCACTACAGAGCAGAACCTCAGCAGATACCTGGAGTATGGTTGTTGCTACGAGTCTGGGGTCTCATTTATCAAACATTGAGTAGAATCCGTACTAAATCCGTACTCAAGCTCAGCAAAACAAATGTACTTACGCCAAGCAGGTTTGTGATCTATCAAACGTGGAGTACGCACAGCTGCACGCAATCTCGGCTTCATAAATCAGAGATTATCTAGAAAGGTTCTCAGCTGTTTTTAAGTCACATCCTACCCTCACCACGCCCACTTTTTGCCATAAATGGTCGATGCAAAGCGCCATGTGGATCTCATGCATATACATAAGCCGGCTGTTGCAGCGTTCCACCAATGGCGACCGTAGATCAAGGCAGATCAAGGAAGCACAATTTCACACAAGCAGAAACTGAGGTACTTGTGGGTGAGGTGGAGAAATGAAAGGAAGTGCTTTTGCAAAACAAATAAGAGAAAATCCACGGAGTGGCACTGCGTTGCTGAAGCCGTCAATGTGAATTCTTCAGAGAGATCTGTGGCGGATATAAAAAAATAGTCCAATCGGGATTCGATCCCCAGTCTCCCGGGTGACAGTCATGCACGCTAACCAGCCAGCCAAACGGAGATCTCCCCTGTTCAAGCAGCCAGGGTGCATGTCTCAATCTGTCCCCCTGCTGACATTCCGCATTCCGTATTCTGCGCTTCCTTCTCAAAAAATTAGCATATTGTGATTAAGTTCATTATTTTCTGTAATGTACTGATAAACATTAGACTTTCATATATATTAGATTCATTACACACAACTGAAGTAGCTCAAGCCTCTTATTCTTTCTAATATTGATGATTTTGGCATACAGCTCATGAAAACCCAAAATTCCTATATCAAAAAATTAGCATATAATGAAAAGGTTCTCTAAACGAGCTATTAACCCAATCATCTGAATCAACTAATTAACTCTAAACACCTGCCAAAGATTCCTGAGGCTTTTAAAAACTCCCAGCCTGGTTCATTACTCAAAACCGCAATCATGGGTAAGACTGCTGACCTGACTGCTGTCCAGAAGGCCATCATTGACACCCTCAAGCAAGAGGGTAAGACACAGAAAGAAATTTCTGAACAAACAGGCTGTTCCCAGAGTGCTGTATCAAGGCACCTCAGTGGGAAGTCTGTGGAAAGGAAAAAGTGTGGCAGAAAACGCTGCACAACGAGAAAAGGTGACCGGACCCTGAGGAAGAATGTGGAGAAGGACCGATTCCAGACCTTGGGGGACCTGCAGAAGCAGTGGACTGAGTCTGGAGTAGAAACATCCAGAGCCACCGTGTACAGGTGTGTGCAGGAAATGGGCTACAGGTGCTACACTCCCCAGGTCAAGCCACTTTTGAACCAGAAACAGCAGCAGAAGCGCCTGACCTGGGCTACAGAGAAGCAGCACTGGACTGTTGCTCAGTGGTCCAAAGTACTTTTTTCAGATGAAAGCTAATTTTGCATGTCATTCGGAAATCAAGGTGCCAGAGTCTGGAGGAAGACTGGGTAGAGGGTAATGCCAAAATGCCTGAAGTCCAGTGTCAAGTACCCACAGTCAGTGATGGTCTGGGGTGCCATGTCAGCTGCTGGTGTCGGTCCACTCTGTTTTATCAAGGGCAGGGTCAATGCAGCTAGCTATCAGGAGATTTTGGAGCACTTCATGCTTCCAGCTGCTGAAAAGCTTTATGGAGATGAAGATTTCATTTTTCAGCACAACCTGGCACCTGCTCACAGTGCCAAAACCACTGGTAAATGGTTTACTGACCATGGTATTACTGTGCTCAATTGGCCTGCCAACTCTCCTGACCTGAACCCCATGGAGAATTTGTGGGATATTGTGAAGAGAAAGTTGAGAGACGCAAGACCCAACACTCTGGATGATGCTGCTCTCGAAGCATCCTGGGCCTCCAAAACACCTCAGCAGTGCCACAGGCTGATTGCCTCCATGCCACGCCGCATTGAAGCAGTCATTTCTGCAAAAGGATTCCCGACCAAGTATTGAGTGCATAACTGAACATAATTACTTGAAGGCTGACTTTTTTTGTATTAAAAACAATTTTCTTTTATTGGTCGGATGAAATATGCAAATTTTTTGAGGTAGGAATTTTGGGTTTTCATGAGCTGTACGCCAAAATCATCAATATTAGAAACAATAAAAGGCTTGAACTACTTCAGTTGTGTGTAAAGAATCTAATATATATGAAAGTCTAATGTTTATCAGTACATTACAGAAAATAATGAACTTTATCACAATATGGTAATTTTTTAGAAGGACCTGTATATATATATATATATATATATATATATATATATATATATGTATATATTAGGGCTGCATGATATTAGGAAAACCTGCGATATTCGATAAGTGCTTAATATTGCGATATCGATATTACTCGCGATAAATGAACAAATACTAAAGTATGCAGTGTTGATGTCGTCTGGCGTGTGACGTCTGCTCTGGGTTTAAAGCAAACAAAACTAATGCATGAATTCCATTACAACATAACATTTTAATATCAAAATATGCAGCTGCACCTGCTACTGTATTAGCAGCAAAACAACAAACTGCATGCATGCAGTTTCTCAGTGACTTTAAAACATCACCTCCACTATAAAACTTTTTCTGATGCTCCAAATACAGAAAAACATCCCTTACCAGGGTTTTTAGAATAAATAAAAAAATCAGAAAATAAGTTTAAATGTTAAATAATAGTTAACATCACTTAAATGCAACAGCAAATTCTCTCATTGCTACTGAACATTTTCTCCACTTATGTGGTTATGATATAAGGCTGTTGCTGTAACTGGGAAGTGATCTGTGCTGGGCCAAACTAGGAGAATATTAAGATTTTCTGAGGGAAATAGAAAAACAATTGTCTACCTTTCAGAAGAGGAACTGGCAAAAAAGCTACATGGAAAATATGTGAAAACATTTGTTTTTAACCCCAAATTGAACAAGTTTACCTAGATCTTAAGAAGCAGCTCAGATGATGAAACTGCAACTATGATTCTGATAACAAGCTAACAAATTGAACTAGCTCCTCTTAAGATAACCGGCTAGCAGAGCTTCTGACTGACAGTTTATGTGCAGCAGCAAATCAACTATCCTGATTAACGAGGTTATAAAAGCTCATAAATGAAAAATCACTTTGATGTGTGGGGGAACTTTTCCAGGCCCTCTTTAGCAGGGTGGGACTGGGAGGAGAGTGCTGTAGCCTTTTAGCTGGAAGATAACCGTAGCCTGGGGCTAACACTAGCGACATGAAGGTAGGTGGGTTGGTTCACCGGCACGTGTCGGAGTCAGCCCGGTTATTATCAGCTGCTTAACGACACCGAGCGGACTCACGTTCAAGTTTGAAAGCAGTGCTGGTTCCAGAAACCTCAGCACAAAGTGCGTTCGTTAATCTGAGCCAGCATGATGAACAAGGGAAGCGAGTGGCAGCGGAAAGCGGGGGCGGAGCGGAGATAGTGCAATTTTGGGGTAAGGGTCTACGTGGGGGGCGGGTGTATTACGTGAACTGACCCATCTGATTGGCCGCATATCAGAGGGGCTACATTTGATTGGTCAAATAATACTTCCGCGTAAAAACAGAGCTGGATTACAAAAAGTTGATGTATGACATGGATGGAAATGTTTGAACTAAAAAATTATCGCCGTTTTTGACGTGCTTTGCGATGGGCCTATCACACGTCCTGTTATCGCGATGACGATAATTTTTCGATATATTGTGCAGCCCTAATATATATATATATATATATATATATATATATATATATATATATATATATATATATATATATATATATATATATATATATATATATATAATAAAATATCAGTAAATATTTTTGGACCAAAACAGCAATATAAATATCGAAATTAATATTTAAATTTGCCCAAATATTCATACTGACGCTTCTTTAGTTCCATCAATTATAGCAAGTGGTCCAGGTCATGAAGCAGCAGAGCAGCCCCAGACCATGACACTACCACCACCATGTTTAACTGTTGGTTTGATGTTTTTAGTGTTACTTCTACTTCAGACAGGACACACATTTTAAAAAAACGCATGTTTATCTCATCAGTCCACAGGATGTTTTACCATAAGCCTTGGTATTTTATCCTTGGAATTATCCAATGATGGCCGTGCCCCCTTTATCTCTTTCTTAAAAGTTGAATCAACCTCTAAAACAACCAAGTGTGGCCTATGGAGCTTTAGATGTTAATCTGGGGGGGTTTAAGTACTTGCTTATATAGTGCCAGGTTGGTTTGGAATTTTCTCCCTAATAAATGTGATTATCACTCTAAATTTGCTCGGGTTTCCATTGTCTGATAATGTTTGCAGGATTGAAACATTTAGGTCTGATAAGGCAAGAACCAAAGAAATCTGAGGGGGCAAATATTTTTACACAGCACTGTGTAATTCTTTTAATCAGCTCAACGAGTGTTTTTCCAGTTAGGTCCTAACACCATTTAATTTGGGCAAATACATTTGAGAAACTGTGAAGATTGCCATCAACTTACTGCATCTATCGAAATTAAGACTAATATTGAACACTTAACTGCCATAATTTTATCTTAAAACAAATTTTAATCTCAAGACAACCTTCAAAATGCACAGATTTTGCTCTTTAAACAGTTCAGATTCATGTGTGAAGCCATTATAGGCTGAGAAGAGATGCTTTATTCTTAGATGGGGCCATGAACATGCCACACTTTAAGTGTAACCGTGACATAAACGCAAGTCAAAGCAAAGAAAACATTCAGTGTCTGCAGCCTACAGCAGAGGTCGTCTAACTTCACAATCGGAGTTCTGTTTCATAGAAAAATTGGTACGCTGCAAATTTCTGTGTGCAAAATAAGCAGTATCGGCACCTGAGGCACCTTTACTGGCTTTGTGGATTTCTGGGTAATAATCACCCACAGGAATGCCGGGTACGTCCGTCTGTGGTCGGCTGAGTGTGACCACGTTGCTTTAAAGTTTCCTCGACTCAGACTGCCCTGCCACAAGACTTAGCGCCAAAAATTTCAACTCATCCAACTTTGGCATTTTGTTTGCTATAAAATAACAGGAACTTGACAAAGTGTCGAGTAGCTGAAGGTAAAAGAATGAATTGTCACTGGCATGTGTGGAAAACACCAACCTAGACGACTCCGATGACTCTTAATTGCAAACACAAGGCTTAACCTCTTCTGTCTCCGACTTTAGCTGAATTTAACGACCTCCCTTGTGGAATGTGAGGAATTCAATTGAGAACAAGACGGCTGGACCGATAGTCAGCTGTACCTGCTTTATTTTTGTTGTATCGTACTTCCAAGAGCAGGAGGATTTACATGGATTTTCCCCTGGACTCACTCCTCTGTCTGCTTGTAGAGGTGTTTAGTCTGAAGCTGCTTTTCCCAGCCACAGTCCTCTTTGTCTCCCACCAGAGATGCATCTGGATCCTTAACACCCCCCACCTCTCCTGTTTCAGGTGCACATGTGCTTTTGGTTTAACTCTCCACATTTAAATATTTCAAAATCGACAAAAAGCTTTGGCAACGTGCAGTTTTCAAATTTCCTGTAAACCCTTTTTCACAATGGAAAATACAGGCATGCACATTTAAAGTGTGGAAGTTTTGAACTTCCTTTTTATTTCATTTTTCAAAATAACATCAGGTAGTGCCGTTTTGTGATTTTAATGAGTGAAGACTAATCTAAGTTTGAACGTTAATTTTACACTTTAATTCACTGAAACTGTTGCCAACAAGTCTACGGTTTGCTGAACATCAAGCACTTCCTGTCATTTCTGACTAGAATGGCTGTGTGGGACCAGTGCAAACTTGTGGCTCCAAACTAAATTATTTGGCTTTGGGTGTTATTTTCTACATGTGACTGCAAACGTTTTGTTGCGGTAAAATGGAGAAACGAAGGAAAATCTGAGAAAGTCCCAGAACAGAGATTTTTTTCAACTCGTGTGAAAAGTATTTTATAGTTTCTCTAATAAAGAAAAAAATTTAAGTTCCCACAATTATTCATTTTTCGAGGCTAGTAGAGAAAATAGAATGAAGTGTTGTGATTTTTACATCTCATGACATTTTTATTGGCTAAAATCAACCTTCGATGAGGGTTTATGTGAAAAGGTTTTGAGTTACCTTCTCTGTTGTAGACAGCTATCTGAATGGCCTCAGCTTGTAGAAACAGAGATTAGATCTACTTAGTCCTAATGGAGCCAGTTCAAATTAGAAATGCACTGAGTTTGGTTTTGTAAATGCGTACGACTCGTTTGCTATAAAGATAAAATTTCAGTGTTGATACGTATATTGTTTGTGTCTGGTTTAGAAAACATGTCTGAATGCAGAATGCAGCCAGCTTGCAGCTGCCATCTGTGTCTCATCACGAGTATCTCACCTGTCCTGTAAGGACTGGGAACCAAACTTCTGTGCTTTTTTGACCCTGACAGCTCAGGTCCATCGGTGGTCTTGGTCAGACCGAGAAGGCACCATCATGGAAGGGGCTGACCCCCCTTCCCCCCAGGCGATGGGGGCGGCTTGTGTCCAAATCAAACACACTCCAAAAGTCTTTCCAGGTGTTAAAACCAAACGAGGATACACCAAACGCTCCTGTGGAAAATCCTACATGTGCCTTCTGCAGCCCGGAAACCAGAGCCTGCTCCGCTGCAGCCTGGGATCTTTGGAAAACTCAAATTTCCAAAACATGTTTACAAGTCTCACTGGATGCCAGTGTTCTCCGTTCTCACAAATGTTAAAAACGATCAGATGAGGTGTAACAGCAGCCGAATGGCTTTGATCAGATCCATGAGTGAGTTTCTTCTGGAGGAAACGGTTTCCGTAGTTTCTGATGGATGTCTCTCCTTGCAGACTGGTCCTCCTCAGTGTTGCCAAGTTTGGGTCCAAAAAAATTCTTGGATGGAAATGTGTTTTCCTTTATGAGCGCGAGGTATTTAAACTCGGTATAAACCTTTCGTGTTAGAATCAGGGCCTGTTTCCACTGTAGGTATTTAATTAATGAAGTAATTCAACTCAGCGACGTCACTGACGATTATCTTCACAATGAAACACAACAGGGGGCAAAAACACAACTTTAACAAATGGTTAGCTAGCTGCCATGTCACAAGAAGCTGGAGTAAATCATGTTTCTCAATAAAACTTCGTAAAGCTACGAATTTAATCCAAACTTTTGCTAACTGCCAAGCTACAATTCCAACATTTTAATAAAATTCCTTTTTTTTCTCAGCAAAAGTAACCAAGTTTACGCACGCAGCTAGTCCACACCAAAACAAAACAAAACAAGAAATCTTCAAGCGAAGACGTCAAACTTCCTGACGGAACAAAAATCGCCACCGGAACCCGCTTTAGCTTCGCAGAAATCACGAAAAACTTCCTTCAGAGTCGTTTCCAGCGTTTCCCAAATGCTCTGTTTTCGTGTGTCCGTGAGTTTGTAATAAGTTGGATAAAGTCCCGGGGGAAGTTCCGACTGCTAAGAAGCGCCGTGGAGCCGCGGGGACGCGCTGTTACTCGGTAGAGGTCATTTCTGGAGAGCGCGCATGTTGTTGATGGGGCGGAGCAAATGTGACGTTAGTGAGGCGTTCAAGACTGTCGGGAAAGAGTTCAACACGGAAAAGCCCCTTCTAACCAACCAACCAAATAAACAAAAAAACTGTCACAAATAGATTTAAGTACAAGCAAAAATCAAATACAGTACCACCCAAACGTTTGGGAAATGTCTATTAATAGTGTTGATGATAACATGATAATGTTCTAATATTAATTCTTTGATGTGTTCACTTTAAAGAGCAAGTCACCCCCAAATCAACTTTTTTTTTTACTGATAAACTATATAAATGTGTGTCTAATTGTGCTGTAGTCAATAATTTGGTACTTCAGTGCATCTTAGTTAAAATTGAAATATTCTGCCTAAAACTGTCAGTGTTGCGCCGTCGTCAGGTAAAAACTCTGCACTGCATTTGAATTTAAATCTGCCACCGCTATTGGCTAAGAGGTATGCTATGATGTAAACTGGTACATTATGATGTCACAGTGCTGTTGTGAGCCTGTGTGTGTATTTGTTAGTGGCTCCGCCCTCTCTGTCTGCTAGGCAACAGCATTTTTTGCATTTTTCAAACATGAAGGGGGAGTGAAGTAAGTTTCTTGTAGGGGGTGACTTGCTCTTTAAGTTTACTTTTTGTTTTGCTTGTGAAAAGCTGTGGACTATTGCTGCATTACATCAGTGGCAGACTGGTGCATGCAAGAATGAATGTAATCATTGTTTGTTTTTTGTTTTTTGCACTAGCAGTTTTTACACTAAATCAGTTTTCTATTGCATGCAAAATAAGCTGTATCGGCACCTCTACCAGACTGTTTTAGTCAGAGGCCGAGCACAAGCATTCTGGACCACCGGTAGACGGTTCAGGGAGGTTTTGCTCAGACAAGTTAAAAGCAATCTGCAATAGTCTAAGCATGAGGAGATGAAGATGTGGACAACAATCTCAAGTGCAGAGTGGGACTCAGCTTAGCAATGTTCCTGAGATGGAAGAAGGAAGAGTGAACAGGAGAACTGACATGAGAATCCAGGGTAAGAGCTGGGTCAAAGGTCACGCCAAGATTCCTGACAGAGGGTTTGGTGTGGGAAGCAAGCTGACCAAGAGAGTCTCTGACTTTGGGAACCAGCTTGTCTGGGGCACAGATGAAGATCTCAGTCTTATCTTCATTCAGCTGTAGAAAGCTCCCAGCATCCAGGTTTTAATGGAGTCTAAGCAGGTGTGTAACAGCTGCAGCTCAGACATAACATGGGGCTTAAAGGAGATGTACAGTTGGATGTCATCTGCATAAAGATGGTAGGAGATTCCCGTAAAGAAGCTCAGAATGGGCTGAAGAGGAAGCAGATAGAGGATGAAAAGTAGATTTTTACACAGAAGCGCCTGGATCGGCTTGGACAAGTGCTGCAGCAGACGGCAGGATTTGGAGTATTATTTCCTGATATTTAGACATCTCACCTCAAATTGGATAACAGCAATGGGACTCTACCACTAACTCTGTTTGTTCTGCGACATGGATGTTTTAGCTCCACAAATAACACAAGCCTGGTGTAGCTGTGTGGTTAACTTCTGCTAGCCAAGACGTTTAATGCTGTTTCCTGGACGCTAAAACAAAAACAGCCTTCCTCACCAAGATGGGTGAGTCCAAGCAACGGCTTGACATCGATACGTCAGAATTTTCAGATCTTAACCTTTCAATGTCTATTTTCTATTGGATACTAATACAGAAGATAGGTGTAGGAGACCATTTTCATGTTCATCCTGCATTAAAAACTCAAAGTGAACAATTATAGTCAGGAATAATCATTGAAAAATGTTTTTCAGTGAAGTACACCTTTAAAATGTCTATATTTCATTTTTCTTTTGCGTGTTGAGTGTATTTTGATTTTTAAGTTGTTATACAAACATTAACTACTAGTTAAAGGTTTAATATGGAACCATTCAATAAAAAGCTAAATTATTTAAAAATAATACCTCCACAGGGCATTTACAAACGTGCTGACTGAAGTGACAGTATTTCCTACTTAAAAAATAATCAAATGTTTATTTTGACGGGACGGCCACGAAACTGGGTTTATGCTTACTTCTACCAGCCAATAGAGGGCGCCATTGCAGGCTGCCAAATAGTCCGCTCAGCACAGCGAGGCCCTGTGGGAAATGGCGGACTTGAGAAGTCAAGAAGCTGTTTCTGAGCCCAGAAAATGTCCTTATCCTTTTCAGAAGAAGAGCGTCTACAAAAGATTTTCAACCAGAGTGAGTTTAGCTGAATCCTACAGCAGATGGACCCAAATAAAAAAATTCATGAATCAGCAACAAACCCGGTTTCCCGATGGCTGGAAACCTTGTTCTTTTGTTGCACCTACAACCTCCATACACGAGATGCCACTTTGGTGTCTGTGTTCCATGCTCCACCTATCAGTTAGATTTTGGGATGTACAAGCCAAAACTAGAGCAGTTTTTATAATAATTTTGACTTCATGAAATATGAGCGGTTCAAGCAATGAATCGTTTTACAAAGGTTTTCTGAACGCTAAAGAACTCACCTGGAAATGTAAACAGCTGACATTTGACACAAAATGAAATCAACACCAGCATTTTATTTAATTTTCTTCAAAAGCATGTAAAAATAAAAAAAGAGAATATGCACAAAATAATCGTGTATCCTGATGTAGAAAGAGGGGGTTGGGGCTTACTAGTTCAAATGTTCCACACCACTACTAACCAACCATAACCAACACACAAGGGGGGGGGGGGGGGACTGCAAACAGTCCAAACGTTCTTTTGCTGTAAGGCCACCTCAATCCACAGGTCAAGGCTATTATCCAGGGTACGCTTTAAAAGATGCATACATTTTTAATGTCTCGGTGACAACAGCAATAGGTAAGTTTTCACAAACATGACTCACAGATTTAACATGACTAATGTTACACTGCAATCATTCACCTGAGCCTATTGGCACCAGTATAAAGTGTACCTTGTCTGTGTTTACAATAAAAGTACACAATTCACAGATTTAGATGTTGTACCTTGGCAAACTGCAGAGAATGACAAAAACAGCATTTTAGATACAATTTCTTGATCTTAGAGCGTTCTCTGTGATCTGGAGGACTATTTTACAGCTAAGTTTACAAAAGAAAACATACTTTATAACAGAGAATGTGAATTATATTAAATGTAAATGAACACTTAAGAAATAGGCTGCTGGTTGGGTGAAGTGTTCTTGTGTTGTTGTTGAGCGGGACTGTGGAGTGAAGAGGTCATTTTTCAAATAAAAAGGCATGAGCTGAACTTTTCTTTTTAAAGATTTGTGATGTTTCATTCTAAGGCTTTAAAAAAGGAGAAAACAAGTCTTTTTAACGTTCTTTTCTGGACAGCATGCTCAGATTCACAGTCACAAAAAGTACATCATGTCATTCAAGTGTCAGCGATATTCACACATTTAATAAAATAAGAAATTTAAATGGCTTTAGACTGTGTTCGATGAAATTAAAACACAGAAACAGAATTTCAACAGAGCTCTCTGGTTGTTGCAATTAAAAAGGACGAAAATCAGTTAATGTGCAGCAGCTGCGCTGAAGACTGAGGCAACATATTTAAAAAAAAGGGCCATGTTAGTATGGGCAAATTAATTGTACTGCAACACTTTCTCCAGCAGGGGGAGCTGTGCAGTGATTTTTGCATGCAGTACGCAGGCACGCATCAGGGGACTAATGTGACAATTCCGTCAATTGTAAAACCAATAATTTGCTAACAATAACAGGTCCAAAAACTAAGCTGCATGTAGCTAAAACACGGGAGCAATGAGGAAAAGCTGAATCTGCCGGGAAGAAGGGAGTGCTGTGACCAAACATTAATTTATGACACCATAAACCACTCAGTTGTGTGAACAAATCCCATGCAATTCAAAGCACAGGAAAAAAGGTGAGTAAACTTATTTTATTGGTTCTTTAAGATGTTTCAGCTCTTATGTAAAAAGCTTCTTTTATTATTTGGAGAACCAAAAAAAAAAAAAAAAAAAAAAAACAACATTGGCCTGTTACTCCAGCATTTAAAGGTATGCTTTCATCTTTTGAAGTGGGTTTATGTCCAGAGGGGTTAAAATCTACCTGCTGTAAACAAAAACATCAGTTTGGGGAACAGAGATGAGTTCTGTCAGTTTAAATTTGTTTTACAATTGATAACACTTCACAATAAGGGTCCCCTCGTTAACGGTACTTAGTGCGTTATGATGCATTAATTAATAAAGGGTCCCTTTATTAATGTTACCATCCCTGTGAACTATTAAATGTCCTTAAGGTTAGAACAAATGGCCTGGGGGGGGGGGGGGGGGGGGGGGGGGGGTCTGCTTAGTAATTCATTAAATAATATGGCTAAGCAGTTGTTAATACTTTATTTAATAGTTTATCAGTGCTTAATAATTCACGAAGTAACGTTATTAAAGGGACCCTTATTGTAAAGTGTTACCTACAATTCCAGTCTCAAAAACCTCACAGCAGTTCATGCAGCTGTTGTTTTTTAAATATCATTTTCTAATATTTCACATGTAATGGTTATCTGTGGTTTATTCCATCCAGAAGTAATACATCAGGTAGATCTGCAGCTTGTTTACGCTACAAAAACTACTGAATGAATGCAAAGGTGCGATGTGACTTTACATTAGTCCCTCGCTATAACGCGCTTCACCCTTCGCTGTTTCACGCATTTTTTCTGTAAATAAATACAAGAGGCCAATCATAATTGTCATTAACGAAAATCCAACCGGAAAATGGAAAATATAGGCAAACGGAAAAAAGAACCGATCAGTGATTGGGAGAGGCGGTACTAGATGAGAAAAGAACCATCCGTCTGGATCCGGCCAAAGTTTGAACAGGACAGCAGTAACCATTAGAGGTGCTGAAAAAAATCAATTCAAGTCTGAATCGGGATTCTTATTTATAAAGATTCAGAATCGATTCACAAAGGTTCAGAATCGATTCCAAGAACTCAAATATTTGGCATGTTACAGGTTTGAGATGCACTTTTTAAATCTTTGTCAGGAGAGTCAGTACTCCGATTACTTTTGTGGTCCCATAAATTGAGATGATTTATGTATGAATCTGCTGATAAGAGGGCACTTGAATGTAATTTTTTCCATACTCAGAAATTTGAAATATTCTCATATTTATTTTCTAAGTTTATAAATGAGTACTCAGGATTACTCATGTAACTTGTTTCTACACATACTTGAAAAGTATTTGACCATATTACTTTCAAAGCTACTGTTAGGTAACTACAGATTTGTTATATTTTACAAGGTAAGCAAAAATAAATGTTGCCTTTTGGTCAAAAGATTGTTTCTGTTTACAGTTTTAGAATCGCTTTATTTTACATAGTAAATTAGCATTTTTGGAGCACGACCAGTTTAAAGTCAAATAAAAATGTCCCATAGCTTTAACTAACTCGTACAACAAAGTAGTTCATCCTGGAGCTGACACTCTTTGTTAATACTGATTGTGAATCGATTTAATTTGAGAATCGGTTCTGAATTGAATCGGCACCCCGAGAATCTGAATCGAATCAAATTGTGAGTTGCTCTAAGATTCACATCTCTAGTAACCATATATGCTGATGACAGCTGAACAATTCCAGCTGGGAGGAAAAGCATTAGATGTGACCATCTGGAAAGCCTTTGCTTGGGGAGGACACATCCAAGGTCTCTCCTGGTTTTAAAGGTTACAGTGATAGCTGCGCAGGAGCAGGAGAGGAGTGGATCGCTGGAACCGAACCAGATGTGTGTCGCGGTGCATCTGGAAGATTTTTGTTTTATGGTGCTGCTATGGCTGTAATACAATCAGCATTTTGTGTTCTCGTGATGTTTTTGTGGAGGAAAACATTTTGGCAGCCCATACAGGCGTTCGCACAGCTCACTTTGATTATTAGTTAAAGGAAAACTAATAAACCCTCCTGAAAATAAATCTTACGTTTGGCAGGTTTTTGCACGTTTTTTTTAACAGCGCATTGAAAGTGTTTAAACAAGAGAGTGAAAAAGTGTATAAAAGGTTGTAGCGAGGGGTTCTACAGCCTTAAAACATCTATAATAATTTCAATTAATAAAGCTGGCTACTTTGCGGATTTCGCCTATTGCGGGTTATTTTTAGAATATAACCCCCGTGATAAACAAGAGACCACTGTATTAGAAATGCAAAACTGTTTTACACAATGTTTGCATGAACATATATGAAATTCATCACATAAGTCCATTTAAGATGATTAACTGACTCTAGCCAGACCCGCTATGAACTCACAGCTAATCTCTGTTTCTCCAAATTGATGTAAATCAAAACACTAGGTAAGATACTTAAACCCTTTTCACAGACGCATGATTCAAAAGCTCAGAATTATTCCTTCAAGATGAACCTGAATGACTGAAAACTCACACAAACCACCACAAGACACCAAAAGCTAACATGCTCAAAAAACAAAGAAAAATGGTTACGCTGGTCTTTTATCGTTAACAGCCGAATGGATTTTAAAACTATTCCTTCAACCAAATCCACGTTATTAGACCAAACACAAACCCTCTATTTGATTTTCAGCATCTTTTCTGATAATATTATCAGTGTGTGCAAAGTGAGAGTACAGCAAGGTGGGTAATGGTGGGCAGTCACAAACCACAGCTCTATGTACAGATAGTTTACGAAACACAATCTCAACTGAAAAAGCCCGGAGAGAAGCATTTTTGGATCTGCTCTTTGAGAAGATGGTTGCTATGTCATGAAACTAGTCACAACTCAAGAGATCAATGCAGTCATAAAATAAGGCTGTTCTGATTCAGTCACTCGAACGTGCAAGGATAAGACAGGAAGTGGTCGCTGAAATAACGATGGAATGATTCAAATGAAAAAGACGAGGTGAGCTGTTGCCGATGTGGTTACTACAGTACTAAGTACTGTTTGTTCATTAAATGAAAGCAGACTGGCGCATTACTGAAAATCATTATTTGAATTTAATGATGATGGTGGGACGTAGATCGACCGGTCGATCTACGTCCCAATCCTCACCTATGGTCATGAACTTTGGGTAATGACCGAAAGAACGAGATCGTGGACACAAGCGGCCGAAATGAGTTTCCTCCGTAGGGTGGCCGGGCTCAGCCTTAGAGATAGGGTGAGGGGCTCGGACATTCGGGAGGGACTCGGAGTAGAACCGCTGCTCCTCCGGATCGAAAGGAGTCAGTTGAGGTGGTTTGGGCATCTGGTCAGGATGCCTCCTGGACGCCTCCCCGGGGAGGTGTTTCGGGCATGTCCTGCCGGCAGGAGGCCCCCGGGTCGACCCAGGACACGCTGGAGAGGTTACATCTCCAATCTGGTCCGGGAATGCCTTGGGGTCCTGCCGGAGGAGCTGTTGGAGAAGGCCGGGGAGAGGATGGTCTGTAGCTCCCTGGTTGGGATGCTGCCCCCGCGACCCGGACCCGGATAAGCGGAGGAAGACAACGATGACGATGATGATGGTCAAAAAAAAATCAAAAGGTTAAATGGTCTGATCGGTAAATCTGACCTGAGTGCATGCTCTACTGCAAGCACTGAACTGCAATGTTTGAGCGTCACAGAGAACATATGACAAAAAGAAAAATGGTGCAAAATACTTCGATGACTCTATATTTTTGATAAATTTCCTGTAGAAGGGGAGGCTTTTGGTCACGATCAACTATCAAATCCAAAACAGCAAACTTGAAAGTAGAGTACCTTTAATTTTTCAGTAGATTGGCCCATCGTTTCCAAGCCGATTGTGTGTGTGTTTGTTTTGTTGTCATTTAAAAAGCTTGTGAGTATGCGGGTGATTTAACTCTGCCCCAGCATCACAACGCTGTGTTTACCCATATGAATGCTGGAGGAGCCAAAGGAAGAGACAGATGTCAGACAGGACACCAGCAAACACCACTACGGCGACTTTGTTATTGTATCTGACTCCTTGGCACTCCACAGCTCTTTGTGCTGCTTGCGTCCAAAACCCTCGTCGTAGTTGCCTTTGCTCTTGAAAAGCTGCTGGAAGTGGGGTTTGCAGTAAAATTCACCTTGAAGGGCTGCAAACGTGCCGAGGCTGCCGGAAAGGAAGGAATCAAGAGTTATGCACAAAAACATGGAAGCAGGAAATGGTCGCGTACATGAAAAACGGGGAATGTGCTTGCATTCACCTGAGTTTGGCTTTGCAGTGCTTGCAGCAGAAGCATGCTGAATGGAATACCAGGTTGTTGGCGACCAATCTCTCCATTGGGTAGACCGTCTTCTCACATGATGAACACACCTCCTTCTGCGTTTTGAAGCTGAAGGACTGAGGCCACAATCGCACAGTTTACCAACAGAAACGTGAAAGATGAAAAGCATTGCAAACGAAGAAAGGCTTTAAAAGCAAACACAGCGTTTTCTGCTGATGAAGGTGAAGTCGGGGGGCCAAGTACTATGTGCCTTCAGGCAGGGGGACTATCAACGGAAATATACCTTTTGGCTACAATTGAGTACATTTACATTGTAAAATGCTTATTAATGCACACAGTCCCTCTAAAACAAATACAAGTTATGAATTCATGCATGTACAAATAAAGAAAAATAACTGAGAAGTGGGGAAATAAATACTCACCTTAGATCTTTGGACAGGTTTCTCTTCAGAGTTGTTTCTAGAGTCCTGGAAAAAAAAAGACAAAGGAAGAAATAAACAAATGCACTAATATATGTGTACTTGCTCTTTTATAATACTTTGCACATATATTGATAATCAACATGTGCATATGTATTCCAACAGATTACAAGCAACAGGAAACCACATAGTGATAACTATTTAGCAGCAGCTCATTTTTATTTCAACCAGTACGTTTGATATCTTCCTCTCCGCCAGTTTCCATTTGCTCCATCTGTCTCTTTGCACCCCAGGGAGAGGATCAGGTGCTTTCTGTCTGGCCATGAGAGCCAAGCTGTGGCTCAGTGTGCACGAAGCGGTCCTCAGAGCCGCTCAGAATCAGCTTCCCAGAAAAGACATTTCCCATGAACGATGGTGGACCTTTGAGTGAAGTACGACACCGGTGCTGCACTGTTTATTTGTAAGTTCTTCAAAATTTCATGCACAGTTTGGGTTTGTGGTCTAGCCACCTTTTAACACGAGTGATGTTTTTATTTTGGTATTAAGAGACAGCACCAGTCGTAACAGGACAGCACCAGTCGTAACAGGACAGGACATTGTCCCATATTTTTGCACGAGTAACTGGTAATTCAAACATCGAATAAGTGCAAAAACATTCAAATGTGCACACAATAGCTGCCACTGAGGATTCTTAGCATAGTGAAGAAGAGAAGCCTCTGCTGAGGAGAGGGGAAAGTCCACAGCAGACTTTGCAGAAAGCTTGTTATGTAAGACAGTTTGGCTGGAGCTGGAGAGTTGGGGACGGGGTTAAGGGCTGCTAGGAGAGCTGCAAATAGAACCATTATTCTTATCAAAGAAAACCAGTGATCTGCTTATTTATAGGGTTACTAGTTTTACAGTGAATGGGGAAAATTATTTAACAATGATGTGAAATGACAGTGGGATCAAACATCTGCAAATGATATGTCAGTGTCATTGAAATGTCCAGGGGCCTCATTTATCAAGCTTGCTTACGCACAAAACGGGGTCGGAAAACTGCGTAAGCAACTTTTCACACAAATTTTGGGGTTTATGAAAGAAAACTTAGCGGAAAAATGTGCACAACTTTAAGTTGACTAAGGACCTGGCTTACACACATGTTGGAAATGGAGAGCACCTGCAGTGCTGCTGCTGAGAAGGATAAAATCCTGCAGCATTATCACTTGTACTGCTTCGTTTTCACACAGAACAAGACCCCCCACACGCACACACACGCGCGCGCGCGTACACACACATGAGCGCACACTCACACACACACACACACAGCCTGAGGCGCAGAATACGGAATGCAGAATATCAGCAGGGGGACAGATAGAGACAGAATGTCATGCATCTGTGACAGTGTGTGTCCTGTCACTGTGACCCGATTCATGATGTGCACTGGCTACTTGTACAGGGGAGATCTCCGTTTGGCTGACTGGTTAGCGCGCGTAATTTTCACCCGGGAGTCTGGGGAGAGAATCCCGATCGGACCATTTTTTATATCTGTCACAGATCTCTCTGAAGAATTCACAACATTGACGGCTTCAGCAACGCTGTGCCACTCTGTGGATTTTCCTTATTTGTTTTGCAGAAGTACTTCCTTTCATTTCTCCACCTCACCCACAGGTACCTCATCTTCTGCTTCTGTGAAATTGCGCTTCCTTGATCTGCCTTGATCTACGGTCGTCATTGGTGGAACGCTGCAACAGCCGGCTTATGTACATGCATGAGGTCCACAAGGCACTTTGTATTGCCTACTTGGCGTCATTTTTTTTGCTGAGCTTAAGTACGGTTTTAGTAAGGATTCTACGCAATGTTTGATAAATGAGACCCCCAGTTCTTGAAACTCGTGTTTAGTGTAATATAGTGATATAAGAAAATATCGATACACTGAAGTATTGTGATGTTTACTCTTAACTGATATTTAAAAGCAGGCAGAGTATTGATTTTTAATTGAGAAATTACATGCAAACATTTACGGTAATTCTTTTGTGTGCAATTCATATTCTGACTGCTAGACGGCAGCAGTTTCTACCGCCTTCATTCTGACAAACAACAAAATCTCGCAATAACACTGATGTGTCTTGGAAGCGTCTGGCCAGAGTTTCCCAATTAAAATCAGACGTAAAACTTTCAAATATCGTCTGAATTTTAGTAACACAATATATTGTCTCATCTCCCCTGTATTGTCATTTATATCATATCACCAGATTCTTGCCAATGCACACCCATAATCCATCCATCCATCCATCCATCCATCCATTTTTGATTGCTTTTCTGGGGTCGGGTCATGGGGGAGGTAGCCTAAGCAGGGAGGGCCAGACTTCCCTCTCCCTAGCCCCTTGGAACAGCTCCTTAGGGGGAATCCCAAGGCGTTCCCTGGTCAGCCGAGAGACATAGTTTCTTCAGCGTGTCCTGGGTCTTCCTTTAGGCCTCCTCCCGGTTGGACGTGCCTGGAAAACCTCACCAGGGATGCGTCCTTATCATCAGATGCCCAAGCCACCTCGACTGGCTACTCTCAACGTGGAGGAGCAGTGGGTCTCCTCCGAGCCCCTCCCGGATGACCGAGCTTCTCACCTTATCTCTAAGAGAGAGCCCAGCCACCCTTCGGACAAAACTAATTTTGGCCGCTTGTACCCTCAATTTCATTCTTTCGGTCACTAAAGCTCGTGACCATAGATGAGGGACCAGCAAATCGAGAGCTCAGCTCTCTCTTAACCAAAACAGATCAGTACAACGCCTGCATCTCTGCAGACACAGCACCAATCCGCCTGTCGATCTCACACTCCAGCTTTCACCCACTAGTAAACAAGACCCCGAGATACTTAAACGTCTCCATGTGGGGCAGGACCTCCTTCCTGACCTAGAGAAGGCATTCTACCCTTTTCCGACTCAAGACCATAGTCTCGAATTTAGAGGAGCTGATTCTCATCCCAGATGCTCCACACTCAGCTGCGAACCGCTCCAATGAGAGCTGAAGATCATGTTCTGATGAAGCCAACAGGACCACATCATCTGCAAACAGTAGAGACTTGATTGTTAGGCCACCAAAACAGATCCCCCCAACACCATGGCTGAGCCTAGAAATCCTGTCCATAAAACAGAATCAGTGATAGAGGGCAACCTTGGCGGAGTGCAACTCTCACTGGGAACGAGCCCGACTTACTGCCGGCAATGCAGACCTAGCTCTGACACCAGTCATAAATGGGACCTAACAGCCCGTATCAGAGGGCCTGGTACCCCATACTCACGAAGTACCCCCCAGAGGGCCCCCCAAGGTCAAATGCCTTCTCCAAATCCACAAAACACATGTAGACTGGTTGGGCAAACTCCCACACACCCTCCAGGATCCCCCTAAGGGTATAGAGCTGGTCCAGTGTTCCACGGCCAGGACGAAAACCACATTGTTCCTCCTGAATCTGAGGTTCAACAATCCGATGGACCCTCCTCTCCAGAACCCCTGAATAGACCTTACCAGGAAGGCTCAGAAGTGTGATCCCTCTGTAGTTGGAACACACCCTGCGGTCCCCCTTTTTAAATAAGGGAACCACCACCGCAGTCTGCCAGTCCAGTGGAACTACCCCCGATGTCCACGCGATATTGCAGAGCCGCTTCGACCAACACAGCCCTACAACGTCCAGAGCCTTAAGGAACTCTGGGCGGATCTTATCCACCCCCGGGGCATTACCACTGAGGAGCTTTCTGACTACCTCATTGACCTCAGCAGCAGAGATTGGAAAGCCCAACCCAAAGTCCGCGGACTCTGCTTCCTCACTGGAAGACATGCCGGTGGGATTGAGGAGGTCCTCGAAGTATTCGGCTTAATATAAAATATGAAATGAGTTTTTGATACACAAGGTTCAACTTGCAAAGTATCTCTTTAACTTCACTTTATTTATCCACCACTTCAAAAATGAGAAGAACAATGTAATAGTTTTGTAACGATTAGTTAAAGCGAGTATTCAGCTTTCTCTGGAAGCAATCACATCCTAACATTCAGCCATCTCCGTCTCTGTTCCCCTTAACAACTGCTGCTGGACAACCAACACCTTTCTGGTTATCATGCACGCTCCATGCTACACCACTTCCTGTTGCTCGGAAGCAGCGTCTGAACTAAGATTACTTTTGTCTAGCACATTTTAATACAATCTAAAACTAAACTTTCAAAGGGTGAATTCTTTACTGTACATTTACGGAGAATTTAACTCAGCAGAGGGCTGTCGGAGCACGGGGCTGATGTCGCCATAAAAGGAGTCTGATCAGAGTGAGGGGTATACTTTTCTGGTAAAAACACCACAGTGAGATTACACACTATGATAGATGTAGGCATGCATTCCACACACACACACACACACACACACACACACACACACACACACACACACACACACACACACACACACACACACACACACACACACACACACACACAAGTCTTTCACATCAGCCGGTGCCATCTTGACTTCCTTTACCTTATATGTACACAAGTCTCCGTTTCCACCAAGCAGCCTGAATGAGACAGGAAGTTGTTGTGACACTTTTGTTTTCCTGCATCTTCTTTCCCTGTTATTGGTTCCTAAAAACACTTATTATTATTATTATTTATGTTTAACTGAGAAATAATCAAAGGAAAATATGGATGTGCTTCTACTCATTTGGTCAATTAGACCAACAAATGTTACAATAATTAATTTGGAAATGAACATCTAAATAAAAAAAATAAGTCTCTGACTCAATCTGAGGTGTGCTAACCACACATAGCATCAGTGTTTAGCTTTTAAATAGTCTTACAAAACAACTGTTAGCTCGCAGCACGGTTAGTCGTCTGGCCTGAGTGTGTTTGTGGCACACAACACCCATGAGCTTGTGGGTTCATTGCAACATGTTCCCTTGTTGTTTTTAAAAATGTAGAAATGTTGTTTTTTTATGGGTCAAATTACACTTTTGTTCCCTCTTTTTGAAAGTTAAACAACATTTTTGGGTGGTGAGTATAAGGGCAAAAAAAAACTTCACATTTCTTTTAAAAC